CAAAACAATGAGTGCATTTACATGCACTTAATAATCTTATCATAATTGGACTCCAGTAGCTATTTAGATTATGCAAGTAAACAGCATACTAAGATTTCTTAGATTGGATTAAGGCCTTGAAATCTGATAAAGAGAACTGGATTTTAGCTAGTAATGGGGTTTTTCAGTGCATGTGTACCCTTACTCTGATTTCTTTCGGTTTCTCAGTCTGCGCATGTGCTAAAACAGAGTGCTGTCCTGGAAATAGCAAGCCATGTTTTACACAAACCCCACAAGATGGCAACAAAACACTTTTGGAGCAGAGCTGAAACCACTTAAATGCTTGGCAAAATGAAGGCTTTAAATATTCTTTATCTACTAGGTGATGAATATTCATATGTTCCACTAAAGTGACCTGAGATAATTGTGAGTTTATTGGCCAGTGGCTTAGCAGAAATCCGATTACTGCCTGACTCATGTAGACCCAGAGTTTTCCCGTTACCTGATTACCCAAGTGCATATAAAAGCGTCGAACAAATAACTGACAAAATCTGATTATCTGCAGTTATCAGATTATTACGTGCATGTAAACAATGAAAGGGAGCAGACAGATGTACAGAGTGTAGACAGTGTGTAGAAATGTTAATTGGACATTGTCACGCATCCAGCAAGCGCTGAAAAGAGACGGACTTCATCTCCTAGACTCCACTAGGAGATTACGTGACTGAGCAACTTCCCTCAGACCCGGACTCCGACACGGACTCCATTGCCCAGGATTCTATGGGGACTCATATGACCTCTGACTCTCTCTCGCGCTTCTATCAGCGCTCTCAATCCCCCGAGTGCTAACTGGTATCACCTGTGTGTGTAGTCACATGACTCTCGTAGTTTAGTTTATAAGCCTGGGCTTTAGTTAGAACCAGTTGCCAGGTATTGTTTCCCTGTGAACTACTGAGCGTTTATATTCTGATTGCCTATATTCTGTTTTTTTTTTTTGACCACTGCTTTGTTTATCTGACTCTGCCTTTTGCTTTCCCCTTTTTGTCCTTTTGCCCGTCTTGTCTGATCTGTGTTTTTGAACCTTTTGGCCTGTTACTTCGACCACGTCTTTTGCCCTGCCCTATTGTGTTTGTTCGCCGGGTGTTATGATCATCATTATTCTCCTCCTCTGTTTTTTGGATTTGACCCACGCCTGTTACTGGACCACGTTTTTGCCTTGTGATATTAAAACTGTAGTTGTCTTTTCCACTTTTTTATCTCTCCATAGGAGTCACTGGTGTCACCGATCGTCATTGGTGTTACACATAAGAAAGGTAACACCAGAGACATTTTTAATGAAAAACTCTTTTTACAAATTGGCTGCTACAGAGCATCAAACCACATGTTGTCAATCATTGAATATACACTAAAATATGTCATTTAATCCATTTGTATTCTATTTTTTCACAATTACCTCAGAATAAAGTCGGTCACACCAGTGACATCAGCTAAAAGCTTCATATGAAATCATGAGCTGAATGAGAGAATCTCTGATAACTGAAAGACTCAGTGGACTCACCATGTGCTTTTCTTCACAGATCCTCAGAAAACAGGTAAAAGGAAGTCAAGTGATGTCATCAGTGTGACTTTTATTTCAAAATAAGAGATTTTTTGTTACGCAGTAACACCAGTGACACGACTCCTGGGGACCACAACTTTCTTATATATCTTATATATTATATATATATATTCTTATATATCTAATATTTATCATTTGTTTTCTTTGTCATTTAAATCATATATTTCATAGTCATGCATAGATTATTGCAGTTAAAATTGCAGAAAAAACATGTTTTTACCTCAAAATATGTCACTCACCCTTTACATATGACTGTGGGGACGAGCTCTTCTGTGGTGCTTGGAATTCTATATGATTGATTTAAAAACCAATATTGCTAAATTGAGGCTCAAGAAGGTGTGATTGATAAAATAACTTATTGTTTTATTTTAAAATATAAATAAATTGTAAATCTAACATGTTTTTCAAGTGTGCTATATCTGTAAACGCTAGGGACACAAAAATGGACATTTCCGTAGAATGACTCATTAATATTCTGCCATTTTGAAAGAAATCCTTAAGTAAACTTTCTTTACTTATTCATTCAGTTTAGAGAAAACCCCATTCTTTTCTAAGGCTGGACACGACCTGGGCCTAAATACAGGATAACTCTTCTTATCTTTATGATTTTTTGTGTATTATTAATGGTAATGTTGTAGCAAATACATTTTCAGAGATAAATGTGCAGATGTTCCAAATGTTTATGATTCAGTGAGGTATTCTGTTTTGAGAGAAATGCCTGATATAAATATTCTGTCTTTATTTTTGATTCATTTTCGAGGAACACCAATTTTTTCTAAGGTATTCGATGTCAACAGCACCCTCTGATGATGCATACTGTTGAGTGTGTCGTTATGCATCGCTCCACAAACACCTCTCTACACCTAAATCCTAATACATTATAAATCACACTGCATAACTGGCTTCAGAAAAGCTGTAACAAGCAACTCTTCCACTTTGCTCAGCGTGCCCACGCGCCAGCTCCTGCCGGTGGGCTTTTACGGTGGAAGTAAAAGTATGAAGCATGTTATGTAACCAAATAGCTGGCAGTATAGCACAGAGGGGGACACTGCCGGGAGGTGTAAAGTCTGAAGCTGCACATGCGCTGTCTACGTCAGTGTACTGGTATGACATGCTGGTCAAGGGATGAGGCACTGTGGCACACAAATCACATCTTACACTGTTTTGTTATTTATCAGACATTAATGGTTTGTGCATTCTGTTTCAATAATATAAGATGTACAATCATCAAAATCATTCTGCTAGGCCCATAAAGAGGGGAAATAATTATAAGTGATAATACATAATTTAAGTTCAAAGAGTTTGTTCTGATGTTTTACAACATGATATTCAATGTTATGTAAGTATCCTATTACTATCTTATCCTGTTAGTCTAATGTGGTCGACTGTAATACGTCCACTCCGTTTGCAGAAAGATGCAGTAAAAATTCACATAAAATTTCAAAATGATCTTATTAAAAAGTTTGAATTTCCTTGTCTGGTTTCACTTCTTTCCTAGCCTGGTCTTTCTCACACACCATCTAATGTCTAACTGTTTGGGGTTGGAGATGCACATAACAGGGTAGGTCTCTAAATAGTGTATCTAATAGGTTGTATGTATGCTTTAAATATATTTTATTATATTATGCATTATATTGTTTCACCTGCTTGTCTTTGTGTTCTCATAGGTCCATCGCATGGTGAAATGTTATGTACTAAGGCAGGGGTTGGCAACCCAAATGTTAAGAAGAGCCATTTTGTCCTTTTAACAAAAAATCAAACCACCTTGGGAGTCACAATATTTTATATACATTTTACCATCTTGGCTGTAAATGTCTCAGTATGTGCTAATGTACTAGTACAGGTTAAAAATATAATATAAACAAAAACGCAGACTTACTTTGCTCTGCTTTAAGCTTTAGCTCAGCTATAGCCACTTTTCTCACATCTCCAGCAGGAAACTTTTCCGCAAAAGTGAAATAGTTTTTTGTAAAATGTCTCTCAACGTTCGGCTTTTTACGAGGCTGAAGTCAGTTTCTCATTTGCCAGCATCTTGTTCAAATTTTCCCGTTCCACCTTAAATGGTGCTTGAGGTGCCAGAATGTAACTGCTGCGCCATTTAAGGTGGAACGGGACAATTCGAAAGAGAAGCTGGCAAACAAGATGCTGACCACAACTTTGCGACTTTTTTTAGTGTTTGACAGTTTCTCCTATCAGGAAACCAGCTGGAGTGATTACAAATGCAAATAAGTCCATTCGTCTCCAAATTATTGATGTTCGTCTTAAATCTTTCTCTTTGCCTTTTCATTAGCTACTAGCTAGGTAAGGTTGTTGTCATTGCTATGATGAACAGCAGTCTGCGTGCCAACCTTCAGGGTTAAAGGGTGAATTAGCAGTTCTACACTAACTCCAGCATTTAAGACCTTCTATTGTTAAACTGTGTTAAAACGATCAGCGGAGCTTTATTTTACTGCAAATGATGATTATTTTATTTTTACCTACAAATCTAATTCTTCTGTGGAGCCTCAATAGTAAAAGAGCTGCATGCGGCTCCAGAGCCTATAGCCTGAAAAGCTATGTTACAGGTAGTGGCGCCCCCTTGTGGAGGGTTTTTAGCTTGATAAACCTGAGTGAGTGAGTGACAAGCTAGTTTCTATGAGGTGCTTCCTATCTAAAAATACATATACAATGAATCTAAAAATAAATGTGAACACATCATGGTTTATGTGTTATTTGCCTATCTTGTCACTGTTGTGGCCGTAGCCAGTCGATTATAAAAAGTTTTGACTATAATTTAATAAAGTAAATAGACATAATTAAAGTTTTTGTTAAAAATTAATGAATGATGAATGCGGTAAGAATATTACTTATAAAACATGGGAAGACCTAAAAAAAAAACTGTACAATTTTAAGAACGACTTACAGCCCAGTGGGCTCTGTTATTCTGGCGAGTGCGTGGTGGACAGGGGGGAGGGTGGTGAAAATGAGTTGCTGGTCACGTGACTCCACAACGGCGTTGTAGAGATGACAAGTTCGACTCAATTCACCGAACCGATTCTTTCCAAGCGTCCGTTTCAATGAGTCGAACGATTCCTTGATTCGCAAGTAAACCGTATTTTCATGTCACTCGCATCTTCTAAGGCACTGAAATCAGCGAGTGAGTTTGATCTCGCTCCTGTTACTCACTAAAGGAGTCAGACTCAGAATAAACATAAGAGAGAGAGGAGGTCGACCGGGCCTATACAGAGAAAAATATGAATAATAATACATAATCCAACCTCAAAAGAGTTTCGTCTGATATTTTATAGTGTGGCATTTAATGTTACGTAAGTTAACACGGACGTAAACATCGCGTTGTGCCCGATTCGATTCAGCTGGACGTGCGAGTCGGCTCGACCGGCTCATTTTAAAAAAGAACCGATTCAAATGAGCGATTCACTGGGTTCACGAACTGGACATCTCTACGGCGGAGAGAGCTGAGAGAGGAGAACGCAGAGAGCGGAGAGAGACTCTGGGAGGAAGAGACGGACAGACGGTGAAAATGGGAGTCGAGATTGAGACCATAACCCCCGGCGACGGTAAATAAAACAGAGACAGTCACGCTTAAATGTCCCTTGTGTTTATGGTCAGTAACAGTCCGGGTGTTTTCTGAGGTTCTGCTCGCTCTCCTCTTCACAGGAAGGACTTTTCCCAAAAAAGGACAGACCTGTGTGGTGCATTATGTTGGTGAGTTGTGCACTATAACGTTTTACTCCACAGTTTCACTGCACGCGTGATATTTTTCACCATAAACCGCATAGAAGTTACATAAAGCTGAGTAAGTTGCCGTTGTCGGTTGTTTGAATCAGTAGCTGAGTTGGGGTAGGTTTGGAGATGTGGTGCAGATTTCATCACCACATCCAAACGAAGCATCATATTCGTGTCCAGTCCGACCAGTGAAGATGCTACAGACTACTGTGCTTTTAAGGAAGCTGAGGGCTCCTATTCGCCAGCTCCTTCTATGCAGCTGCACCATTTAAGGTGGAACGGGAGAATTTGAAGAAGAAGCCAACTTCAGCCTCGTTGGCGAACGAGGACAGTAAACAGTGGATAGTGGAAGTGAAGGAGGGGAGATGGGGTCTCTGCAGTTCAGTCCAGTGTGTGCTGTGTTGTATTACAGTGGGCTCACCCACCACAGACCGGCGAGACAGGGCTGTTTTTAAGCCCTCGTCCGCTCCCCTGGCTTTGCTGGACAGAAGGGATTAGCTAACACTGTCTGTCTGTCTGTCTGGGCTCTCCTGGGATGTTGTGTTGTGTTCCAGTCAGCAGTCTGTCTGGCAAGCCGGTAGTTAGCCAGCCTAGATACTGTAGCACATCATCCTCACACTCACATTTGGCCAGATAAAAAATGACAGTGGTCTCTGCGTTGGGAACTCGGAGAGAGACTGTGTTGGTATTTGATTATGTAAGTCTGAAATGCCTCAGGAGGTCAGCTTCGAAATCATTTCAGACGTAAGAGTCTATAGAAGACAGCAGGAAAATGAAGTCATTTGTTTGCCTAACAGCAGTTTCTTCCTCTCTGTATACACCGATCAGGCGAAACATCCTTGTTTCTACGCTCACTGTCCATTTTATCAGCTCCACTTACTATATAGGTGCACTTTGTAGTTCTACAGTTACAGACTGTAGTCCATCTGTTTCTCTGCATACTTTGTTAGCCCCCTTTTACCCTGTTCTTTAGTGGTCAGGACCCCCATGGATCCTCACAGAGCAGGTACTATTTGGGTGGTGGATCATTCTCAGCACTGCAGTAACACTGACGTGGTGGTGGTGTGTTAGTGTGTGTTGTGCTGGTACGAGTGGATCAGACACAGCAGTGCTGCTGGAGTTTTAAACACTGTGTCCACTCACTGTCCACTCTATTAGACACTCCTACCTTGTCAGTCCACTTTGTAGATGTAAAGCTCATCTGCTGCTGCACAGTTTGTGTTAGTCATCCTCTAGTCCTTCATCAGTGGTCACAGGACGCTGTTGGCTGTATATTTTTGGTTGGTGGACTATTCTCAGTCCAGCGGTGACACTGAGATGTTTAAAAAAAACTGCAGTGCTGAGAATGATCCACCACCCAAATAGTACCTGCTCTGTGAGGATCCATGGGGGTCCTGACCACTAAAGAACAGGGTAAAAGGGGGCTAACAAAGTATGCAGAGAAACAGATGGACTACAGTCTGTAACTGTAGAACTACAAAGCGCACCTATATAGTAAGTGGAGCTGATAAAATGGACAATGAGTGTAGAAACAAGGAGGTGGTCATAATGTTATGCCTGATCGGTGTATATATGGTACCTAGTTGAAGATGGTTCTATAAGGGTTCCTTGGTAAAGGGAATGATTCTGTTTAGAAACACGAGTTCTACATAGAACTATTTTGTGCTTGAATGGTTCTTCAGATCGACGAAGAATGTGATGTATATGGTTCTGTATAGAGCCTGTTTGAAAATGGTTCTATATAGCACCATATAGAACCACTGTTCAAGCTTGACTTGCAAGTCGCAAAACTGATAGTGTGAACAGCTTGTACGCCCTTCAAAACGATGGTCCTTGAAGGGTTCTTTACTAAGGAGAATGGTTCTAGAGAGAATCGTGAGCACTAAAAGAACCCTTTGCATGCTTAAAGGGTTCTTCAGAATGTGCTGAAGATGGTTCTATGTAGAATCTTTTTGAAAATAGTTCTATGTAGTACCCAAAAGGGTTCTTCTATTGTTACGATGTCAAGCTCGTAACAATAGAAGAACCTATTTGGGTGCTATATAGAACCCTTTTTTAGAACCATCTACAGCACATTCTCCATCAATCTGAGGAATCCTCTCATGATGCAAAGGACACTTTAATTATGCAAAGGGTTCTTTGAGTGTTGATGGTTCTTTAAAGAACCATTTAATGTACTGAAGAACCCTCGGAGAACCATCTTAGAAGTGTAATATCTACTAACATCCAGCAGCATCTGACGGTTGAGTGTAAGAGACACATGTGAGACAAATGACTTTCGGGCATAAAACCGCTTCATATTTGCCTCCTTCTTTCGGGAAACTTCGAATAAGAAGCTGATTTCAGCTTCGTCACATTTGTGTGGGGCTCAGAGAAGCTGCTGTGGGCTTCACATACACTCGCTATTATCTTGTTAGGGTTAGAAAGCAATACTGACATATCTGTCAATATATTGTTCATTTCTGTGTTTTACAATTGGCCCAATAAGAATATTTTAGATTTGCTTCAGTTGTTAAATATAGTTCTTATTAAAAATGAAGGGACATCTAGAATAATACACTATTATTAATCTACAAAAAAGATTTACTTAAGCATTTAAAATGTTTTTATTTGGAAATATATATACATAAATACAGTATAGCATGATATATATGGAAACCTTCAGTAATCTTAACTATGTCATGATATAATTTTTGCCCACACCACCCTCTATTAACTATAATACATGTAAATCACAAAATTATTGCTTTTATTTATTATATTATTATTTGTTTTTGTTTACATAATTAATTTGTGTTAAGTTAATCCACCATGGTTTTAGTGTTCTCAAAGTTGTTGGTAATTTAATAAAACAGAATTTTTTTACCCTCTTTTTTCTTATTTACCCTCCACCACCGGCCCTCTAAAAAACAAAACAAAACAGCTGAGGTATGAACCGAACCATGGCTGAAAAATACAGGTTTGAACCAAACCATGGATTTGGAGAATCGTTACACCCCTACTTCTGGGTGTGGAAAGCTTGAATAACCACTCTTTGCATCAGTGGTGATCAGAAAATCACAACACATTGAACCTTTAGGTGGATGGGCTACAACAGCAGCAATCCACATGAGATTCCACGGGTGTCAGCCAAGAACAGGAATCTGAGGTTATGGTGGGCACAGACTTACCCGAACCGAGCAGTTTAAGATTGGAAGTAAATGACCTAGTCTACCGAATCACAATTTCTGCTGCAGCATGCGGATAGTAGCGTCAGAATTTGACATAAACAGCACGAATCCATGAACCCAATCTGTCTTAAGCTGGTGGTGGTGGTGGTGCAATGCTGTGCCTCGTCACAAAGCACAAATAATCTTAAACTGGTTCCGTTGAATCAAAGGCCTTCCCAGTTACCAGATTGGAATTCAATAGAGCACCTTTGGGAGATTTGTAGCAGAGATTATGTGATGCATCGATGTCAACATGGGCCAGAATCTGTAAAGAATGTTGTGAAATCCATGCCACAAAGAATTGACACTGTTCAGTGCCGCCCATACTCCCCTGATTTTTGCTCCATTTCGGCAAAGAAGAAAGCACGGCGACACTTTGCTGCGAATGTGGCTTTAGAAAATTGCTGTCTTGCATGATTCTTCGAGGAAGGCAGTAGCTTCTGTGATGGATGTTAGCGTGTGACTAAGAAGTGTAAAATACAGGCCTGCTTGAATGAGTTCATTGTGCTTTCTCAGCCATTCAACATTAATTAGCAGCTCAGATGTGCATGTCCTGTGAATCATTGCCGCTAAACATGGGGACACACAGCCAGATTCGTGTGGGACAGCTGGCAGGGCTATTTTGGTGGCACTGAGAATCCTTTCCTATGTAGCTACCCCTGAAACACGCACAGGCCAAAATCTGGGTACAGTAGATTCAGGATTGCTGCTGTACATTCTTGAGTGCACAATTCTCAAGATTGGGTCTGATGCATTGCATAATAGCTGCTTTAGGGGGCACCAGTTTCATGTTTGTGTCTACTGTCTGTGTATAAAAGATGTAGAAATTTTGGGCTTTTCCAACACAAACCTCCCTTCCCTTTTCCTGTCTTTTGCTCTCCAACTCCAGGCTCTCTGACAGACGGCCGGAAGTTCGACTCTTCCCGTGACCGGGACAAGCCCTTCAAGTTCAAGATCGGTAAACAGGAAGTGATTCGTGGCTGGGAGGAAGGTGTCGTGCAGGTGTGTGATGCCCCATAGCGATGCAGAACTGACCACTCGTCCCGAAAACAAATTTTATGATAAGGAAAAATTGAAGTTTCTTCATTCTGTCATTAAACACTGTGCAGTGCTTCTTACTGGACAGTCACAAAGCCATATCTGACCCACATAACCGTCTCTTTCAGACGTTTTGGTGTGATCCTCACCGGGGAGCACATGCATGTTTCACTGGCTTAACCTACATCAGAACTTACTTTCTTTCCTGGAAGATATGAAACATTACTACAGGCATAGTCCTCCTTTTTGCTTGTTGTGATTCATGACTGTAGTTCTCTTATTGGGCTAGCTGGGGTCAGTAATGAGTCAGTGGAGCGTTTATGTAACGCTGATTGATGCAGTGTGCTGCCTTCCGCTGCGAGAGTGCTCTTTAGTGTCCACTCTAGTGGAATAACACTAGAGAAGTGCTCAGCCTTTTCAGGAGTGCCTGTTCTTAGTGAAAATCTGGTTTGGTAAATTAAAATTGTCCATCTGTGTCAAAAGACAAAAGAAAAAAACCTAAGCAGTGATATTAAGGCATGCATTAATGAAATCCACACATTACCAGTCTTGTAAATGGATATTTATTGGACTTTTAAACAACCAGATGTAGAAAGTAGTGCTGTGCACTTTAACCATTGCTATTCAAATATCTAAATTTGTGGATGAACAGCTTTAAATAACCCATTGCGGCGTTTTCCACAGGTCTGAAATATACTTTGGGGGCAGCCAGGGGTATGGGAGGTATCCAGAGGAGAAGGGTAGTGGTGGGAGGTGGTGTTATTCACATATATAAGGAAATCCAAACTCACCTCTGCATTCTTTTTACTTAGTTGGGTATTCAAGTAGGGCAGGCATGGTTAATTAATCAAGAAAGAAGTTATTGACTTGTAATTGAGCATGCGGTGTAGAAATGTTGAAACACAAGCAGCTGATATTGCACCTGACAGAGTGTCCTTTGCATAATATGAGACACAATATAAAATATTTTGGGAACTGTTTAACAAATAACAGTCTAAAATACTTTGGATATTGTGAAAACGAGTGCCTGTCTATATACTTCGAAGGGTCGCCCAAGTATAGACTATGTGTGGGAAACACTGCAATAATAAAACATTTAATATTGTTATGAATAAAAAACGTTAACCTGGAAGGTTTAACATTTGTTTATTGGGTGCGTCTAGCATAAAACGTGATTCTTACTTGATCTTTCTGTAGATTTGTTGAAATATCTTTGTTTTTTGTGATGTAACATATTGATAAGGATCCACCATGATATTGAAAACATATCAGTATCAGCAGACGTTTGCTTAAAAAAGGATCAGCATTGGACAGAAGCTTAGATTTGACTGACATTTTAAACCAATATTTGATAATGTTTTTATTATACACCCGAAAAGCAGAATGTTTGGCCGATGCTGGGCTACTACACTAAAATACACAAAAATATCAGTAAGTGCTACATATTTCTGATCTGTTCTAATTTCTACATTTTTATAAATGTTTATGTATCAGCACTGGCAGATATGTACTTGAAAAATATCATATGTTGACGTTGGCCCAGAATTTCCATATTGGTGCATCCCTACATTTTACTAGTTGACCTACATAATGATAACTTGTAGCTGCGTAACTTGTCATCTTTTTGTTTCAGATACTTTTTTTTGTAGATCACTTAGATGTCATGAAAATATGCAGCTTATTTAATTTTTTATATCAATACTACACATGAATATCTGATTAAGCAAACAAATACAAGATGTGTTTGGATATTTGTTTAGCTTAGACTATAATAAGGCAGGCCAACATAATAACCATAACCAAGACAGTTCACTATCTTTGTTAAGCGTAAACAAGGTGTCAGCATCGGATGTTGTATATTGTATGTAAAACTGACCTGTCTGTGCTCTTGTGGATGTGTGCATGGCTTTTAGATGAGTGTAGGCCAGCGAGCGAAACTGACCTGCTCTCCAGACTATGCCTATGGCAACAAGGGCCATCCTGGAATCATCCCACCAAACGCCACCCTCATCTTCGACGTGGAGCTTCTCAGTCTGGAGTGACACATCCTCACTGCCTGTTCTTATTCATGCTTTTATTATTTGGTAGGTACTTCAGCTGTCTTACTTTAGCATTCCTTTTTAAAACTGTTATGGTTTGCAGAAACACATGACATGAATCATTTTCCCCTTAAAGTTAAAGCAAAAGTTTGGTAAAAATAAAATATGCACAATTTTCCCCTTACCCCAAAATGCAGTCAATTAGCAAAAATATTTGGAGTCAGAAATATGCTTCTTTAGTTTTTTTACATTGTGACTGCAAGGGTAGAATAGCTAACAATTAAAATAAAATAGAAGTACAGACAAAAGTCAGTCTTCACTATGCTGCTATTGTTTTTAGCAATGAACATTCTTTTGTCCGTGTTATGTAGATAACAGTATGTCGCATTGTCAGAAACGTAAGTGGAAACATTTATGCAAGTCTGTTTGAGATTACAGATAGAGTTGGCATGTTGGTGTTGGGCTGGTAGCAGAAAATGCTGACAAAAAAGAATGAATGCGATTCAATCCTGTAAAAAAATCAAGTGCTGTGTGATGTTAGCTGTGTATTTCTTCCTGTGGGGCAGTAAAGTGTAAAGTGTAGCCTAGTTTTCAGTGCTCATTTTAGAAAAAAGTTCTTCAATTACAAATAGCTCATTTTAAAGCTTAGTAGTTTTTACAGAAACAATATCAGATCTGTAATGGCTGGTACTCAGTAGGGTTAAGGTTTTAATATCGGTATCAGAAAAAAATGGTGTCATGCCAGAGCCAGTTTATGAAGAGCCTGGCCACTTCCTATTTCCCTCGTTATATCAAAAACATGACTGCAAAACAGCAGAGGGGCGCCCGTGAGCGAGTCCTCAATGAATGGGAGTGAATAGAGCTAAACGGTTAAGAATGGAAAGTTAAAATAGTTTCTAATCACTCGCCCAGAACTTTCCTTTAATTTTAGAAAGTAGAAGGATGTATTTCACTGAAAAAAGAAAAGAAAACTCACCTGTATGTTTCCTTTTTTCTACAGCAAACGGGTTTTGGGCAGTACAATGCTAGCATTACTGCTACTGAGTGTTGATTGGTTAGCAAGTGGAGCGGCTCATTGGCTGTTCGCGCTCACTGATGTCATAAATGTACATGAGGTGCCGTTTTAAACTCCTATAACTTGAGTTTAAAAGCGTTCAAAAATATAACAGCATTGTTAAAATGTTTTATGCTGTTCTGTGTTCAGGAAATGGTTGCATTCTTTTATCTTAAAAATGTTTAAGCATTTATAAACTATGATTTTACTCGAATGCTCCATATTAACCCATTCATTTTGGACTTGCTCGGGAGCGCCCTCTAGCGTTTAAGAAACCGGGAAGACATTACAGAGTGGTAATTCTCCTCTCTACAAGTTCTCTGGTCATGCCATGTCTCAACATGGTTTGGTGCAAGTGTATGATGATTTAGGTATGATTCAGGTTGCACAGTATTAATTGGTGTACGTAAGCTTCTATCATTAGCCTAAAAGCTCTAACTAAAAACTAAAGAAGCAAACTTCACACAGCAGGTATGCTGAACTACATGTGCGGTAAGGGGAAACTGTGTAAATCTGACTGTTTGCCAGACTATTGCTTTAAAGGAACGGTGAAAAAGCAATTGCAGTCAATCAGCCAAGAAGTTTGCTTCTTTAGTTTACAATGGGGAATGCTAGGCTAACGTTGCTAATAAACACTGGACTTAGACTGTCACCAAATTCATCTCAGTAAATACGTACCCCCAAAACATGTTTCAACCCGTTCAAAATGCAGCTAGATTTTTATTTGATTCATACACAGAGATTTTGCATGATACTCTGCACTCCTGCTAATTTGTGGTTTATTGCTAAAAGCCACAGTTTAAATGTTTCTGCTTCATTAGGGAATGAATGGTGATATACTGGACTACACTTAGGCTACATTTACACAGCAGCTGATTTTCTCACCAAATCTGATTTTTTTTTGTTTGGCTGTTCACATTATCTTTTAAATGTGATCTGTATGCGACTCTAGACTGAACAGATCAGCTCCTAAACCGACCCGCATGCACAAAAGAACAATGCTTCACGTGGCTCGTCCAGTGGTAAACAATCATAACGGCCAGTAAACGCCAGTCGCTATCAGAAGACACAAGAGATATATATATATATATATATATATATATATATATATATATATATAATCTTCTGTTGCAGGAGCTTTCAGTTTCGTCTTCGCCAGCATCACAGGAGAGATTATGAAGTTCCAATGACAGCTGGGCTCATCACCCAGAATGTGTTCGAGTTCACCGTAAAAAGTGCACGTTATTTGACAAGCGTCGAGTTGGACTGACATCAAAGTCGCGTGAATTCCGATCTGGCTGTTCAGACTGGGTCGCGTTGCCGCAAATCAGATACATATCAGATTTCAGTACCACATATGAAAGCGTCTTAAATCGGAATTGAAAATGTCTGATTCAGTGCAATTTTTGCTGTTCACACTGACATACAGACACACATCTGTGTCACATATGGAGAAAAAGATCGGATTTGGGCCACTTTTACCTGCTGTGTGAACAAAGCCTTAGACTTCTTTGTTCTGTGTGCTGTTTATACAACATGGAAGGCAACACCTTAGTTTAATAACTTTATTGTAATTCGAGATGCAACTTGTAGCTAACTGTCTTATGATTATGAAGGCTTATGTGGGATACCTGCATACCTGCATAGTGACATGTTGACATACGACATACCCCTTGTGGTCCAGTTTAAAAGTGGAGTAGTGTTACAGAGTGGGACATTATGTGGATGATAATGTAGTTCCAGTTGTAGCTTAAATGTTTAATTCATTGTTTGTTTGTTCACGCAGCTGTTTGATAGATTTTTGAAGCGAAGAAATTAAGATTTTGGCTTTTACAGAAAAATAAAGTTTGGTGGCTGTCTAAGTCCAGTGTTAGAAATGTTAGCCTAACATCTCCCATTGTAAACTAAAGAAGCACACGTTTGTCTTGGCTGATCGAGTACATCTGGGGGAAGTGACATTAATTGACATTAATTAGTCATGTTAATTAGATTTTTCACCAAACCAGTCCTTTAAATCATCTTCTTAAAGCAATTCTCATGCACACAAAAGTCAGACCAGCTTTCTTTTAAAGATTTAACCGATCTGTTATCCCATCCTTACAGTTTGTCAGCTATTTTGGACACGGGGAGAAATCTTGCAGCCTTGGACTCTGCTAGGGATCTGGGTTTGAACTAAGTTTTCTTGAGCCTAATGTTCCAGCCTTTCAATCACTACTTTATCCCTAGTTTATTTATATTCTCCTCAATCTCCTGTATGTACAATCTATAGTGGTGGTTCTTGTGGGACACTATACTAACCTGGATTAAATTAATGTTTTCTTTTTCTCTTAACTCGAGTCATCCAGTCAGTAATGGAACCCTTGTTGAACTGAAGGTTGTCCCTATGGTCTAAGGTAACCCACCACTTATATAGAACATATCCTGCAAGGTGTCTATATAACTAGCCTTGTTATTTTGTTTGGGGTTGTGCATGATCAAACAACGACTTACCAACAAATCTAGTATAATTGTCACTTATTCACATATTTGCATGTTATAATTCAATAATAAACAGCCCTTCATGAATATTGGTGCGCTTTAGGCCAAGTATTTGTGTGACTGAACAAATAGAAAGCACACGCCTTTTGCTCAGTACTAAAGACTAGAGAATTACCTAGACTAGATGAACAAGCACCCGCTCCTATTTTAGTTTAAACGCTTAGGCTTGCCTAGTGGACTTTGCTCTAGTTCATAGTGTTGATAATATTTAATTAGTTATACATTCGACACCTTATCACAGTTCAGTGTTTTGATGAAAAAGGCTCCTGCTACATAATATGTCTGTGATACTATATTGACACCAGAAAATGCTGTTGTTGTACAGAAAGATGCTCCTGAAATGATCTGCCTGTATGTTAAGCGAGCTTGTTTTAAGTTGATGTGTTTGATTAGTGCCGAACAATTGGGAGCCATTATGGTCTGTGTTTTCCATGATGTGTGTTTATTTCTGACCTTTTTTGTTATAAGAGACATTGGCATGACAGTAACGTATGCTATTTATAGACATGCTTATCATTTCATATCATTTAATCAAAGTCCGCTACATTTTTAAGCAAACAATCAACTTCCTCTGCACTGTGTGCACATGAAATTGGAGTGATGCTCTCATTACAGCTTCGATGCCCAAAACTGGTAAAAGAGGTTGCGATATGCTACAACTAAATTGCTACCTACAAAACTTTTTTGCATTAATATATATTTTTCAAATGCCAAGTTTTTAGAGCTAAAGTATTATAGGTAGGACTACATTTTAAATTATTTTGCAAATTGTCTATTATTATTAGTATTAATAAGAACCACACTGCCTAGAAAAGCACTGTGTTTTGTTGGTCTGAGGGATAGAGGCAGTAGTGTTTTGTATGGCTGAATAAAAAGAAAAAGTTTTGATGTAAAGCAAATGTTTGAACAAATGACTTGAGTTGATGCTGTTTTCTATTGCTGAAGTTTAAGCATCAATGTATGTGGCTTTAATAGTACTTATACGCGATGTATGTGTGCCGAGTGACATAAACAGGCCGTAAACCAATGAACAAGTGAAAATGCGCTATTGCAATAAATGCTTTTTATCCACCTTGGAGAGTGGGGGTTTTGTGGTCTTTTGTTCTTTTTCTTGTACAAAGTGTCGTTGGTGTCCAACAGAACTGAGACACGTTCTCAGCTTTCATTCTCCTTTATTCCAGATGCTGAGGGAACACACTTTTTAGTTCACACACACACATAATATATAAATTATTGCTGTCGGAACAAAACCTTGTAGCTCCAAAATGGTAACTTTACAGGAGAAGGAAAAAACCTACTTTACTTTTAAGGTAAGTCAATGGAACCAGAGATTTTTCCAAGTCGTTCTGGGCCGTTTCTTTTAGTCCATTCATCATGAAATTCACACACAATGTGAAGGGCAAAAGGCAAAAACTGAAAAATGACAAAAATGGAGATAGGAGGTTTTGTTTCAACACCAGCGATATGTATGGAAACTGAGAATCTGAAGGAAAGAAAAAAAACACATTTTAGATGATTTCAGAATAATGGACAGAGGGTGTCGATGAGCAAAAAAAAAAGAACTGTGTAACATTAAAAGTGAAGTTATAATAACATTAATATCCATAATGCCACAAGCTTAGAACTGGTGGTTAAATATCAAGGCCAAACTTTAATTATATAAATAGATATTTAAAAAAAATAATAATAAAAAATATTTTTATCATTTCTATTCCCAGAAGCCCAGAAGAATCTAAAAATAGAAATAATAAAACTTACACACACACACACACATATACACCGATAAGGCATAACATGACCACCTCCTCGTTTCCCTGCATACTTTGTTAGCCCCCTTTTACCCTGTTCTTCAGTGGTCAGGACCCCCATGGACCCTCACAGAGCAGGTACTATTTGGGTGGTGGATCATTCTCAGCACTGCAGTGACACTGGCATGGTGGTAGTGAGTTAGTGTGTGTTGCGCTGGTACGAGTGGAGTTTTTAAACACCTCAGTGTCACTGCTGGACTGAGAATAGTCCACCAACCAAAAATATCCAGCTAACAGTGTCCTGTGGGCAGCATCCTGTGACCACTGATGAAGGACTAGAGGATGACCAATGCAAACTGTGCAGCAGCAGATAAGCTATCGTCTCTGACTTTACATCTACAAGGTGGATTGACAAGGTAGGAGTGTCTAATAGAGTGGACAGTGAGTGGACACAGTGTCTAAAAACTCCAGCAGCACTGCTGTGTCTGATCCACTCAGACCAGCACAGCACACACTAACACACCACCACCACGTCAGTGTTACTGCAGTGCTGAGAATGACCCACCACCCAAATAGTACCTGCTCTGTGAGGGTCCATGGGGGTCCTGACCACTGAAGAACAGAGTAAAAAGGGGCTAACAAAGTATGCAGAGAAACAGATGTACTACAGTCTGTAACTGTAGAACTACAAAGCCTCTGAGCAGTGATAGGAGTAAAAGCCGTAGGTGAGTAATGGCCTTCTTTAGCTGCTCAGCTGATGGGATGTGGGCAGTCAGCGAACACGTCACGCAGCTAATGGAGCAGGAAGCTCGCAGCTGACTTCCATTTCTCAGACTGCCGTTTCGTTGCCCAAGCAGAGAGAGAGAGAGACAGAAAAGTGAGACAGTCTTTGTCTGCTGTGTCTTACGCCTCTGCCTACTTAATTATCCAGCTACATTTCCCACACTTTTACCTGAAATCGAAAGAAAGGTAAGACTACATTTTTCCCACTTTTTACACGAGCTGAATAAGAGCGGAATGACTTCAGATACCACGAACTCTATAAATGATGTCGATAGCCAACCTAACGTCAGCGAAAACAACAGCGTTGGACACAACTAACGTCCGCTAGCTTGGTAGTTTAGCCAACGTTAGTTAACCTAAGGATGTTAGAAACTGTATTAGCTAACTAACTTGGCGAACCAACCCCGCTAACTTTAAATATAAAAGTTAGTTAACCAACCTAAGAACAAAGAAGTCGAGTTGACGGTGTGTGTCGTAGCTATATATAGTAACCTATAGTAGGTTACAGCGTTTTTTCCGTGAGGTGACCGCTTTGTTTATTACGATATTATGAGGTCCACTTCTTTAGAAGCGTTTACTGAAGCAGTTAGCCCGCTAAAAACTAGAGTTAAGTTAGTAAGTTAATGTTTACAAGCTTTGCGTTGGCCAAGTCAACCGTTAGCCTGGAGTTCTTGTGAAGTAACGTTAAGCTTGCTAGCAGCGAAGTAACTTAACGTTATCCGTACAAAAACAGCGACGCTTTAGTGACAAAGTGTTCAAATTAAGTTAGGCAGAAGGGTTCAACGTTATCTTGTCTTTGTATGTATCACACTGACTCACAAACAGCCTGCTGTATGAAGTCAGCAAGCTTAAATATCAATAGCTTTGTGTTTGGTTTCGATAACAAGTTAGCTAGCTTAGCTAGCTAACAAGCTAACTTACTACGGGAAGGAAGAAGCAGCTAGCTGGCTGGGTAGCCAACTTAGGAGAACCAGCTAACGTTATGTAGCGTTATAATACGTTATTATTAGTTCTGTGGTTGTGGTGGTTGTTGTTATTGCATGTCTGTGGCGGTAGCTGACTTATTAGATGGCTAACGGTTAGCCGGCCAATGTTCAATATGTATTTACAAGCTTATATTATGAACGTGTTGACAACACTGCCTGTTTTGACTTCGAGCTAACAGTTTAGCACCTGGTCAAAGATATAACGTTTAAAGTTGACGTTATAGCGTCACTGTTTTTCCTGAATAAAGCCTGATAGCTGGCTAGCTGAGTTTACCTGTTTACATTGGACTCGCAGTACAAAAATGTGCCTTTTCAGTGGCGCTGAAGGTTTAATACGAGCAAAGGAGTCGCACAGGCTTCGTAATGAACAGCAGAGTCTGGTTTAGTCTTAAGCGTGAGAATAAGTCTGAATATTGGACTTTGCTTCGCGGGTTAGCAGTAGTTTATTTTGGGCTGAAGTTAAAGGAATGAAGGGACTTTCCCTCGACGACGTCATCTGATCCAGTGACGCTGGACAGCTGACTTTTATTGACTGACGCGTCTGACTCACTGACCATTTGCTTAATTTACAATATGAAGGTTTTTAGTTATAAGATACGTTTAAAATCGTTTCCAGTCCTATGGCGTTTTCAGTGGGGGGGCTAGCTACCACATAGGTTATTCTTTGGCCTGCTTTCTTAGTCCCAGCCTGTTGCCATGGGAGAGCCATTTGTCATGCATAGCACTCATTCAGCCTTACTGAAATGGCTATAGCTCGTTTTGGCCCATACTGAGGACTCGCCCACTATACTGGGTTTAAAAGAACAGTTTTTGCTCTGTTGTTGGAGCTCACCATCAACTCAGCCAAGACCTGGAAACCTGGGGATTGGGGTGTTGGAGCACAAGTGTGTGCTTAGGGATAACAGACATCTGATCCAGATTATATTTGTTTCCTGTAAGTGCCCAGTCACACTGTTAAATATTACACAGACTCTCTAATGAGATTCAAAAATGGACCGGCATAAGTAAATCTTTCTACCTTGTTTCTGATAACAGTAGACTGACTGTCGTTAACTGTGTTTACAGGCACAAAATAGCCTATTTGTATAAGACTAGTCCATTTAGAGTCCTGTTTGCATGCGTGGCAGATTAGCTTGACTGTACAGCAGTGAACGCTCCCTTCCTGACACACCTACAGGTTATTTACGTCAGGGTCAGTGTAACGATTTGAGCATATATATTTCTCGATTTATCTTGTATAGTCTGGTCAATATTGGTTTAAACCACATAATGTAGTCGCATTAGGCTCATAGTCTGTTATTTACTTGATCAGATCTTATTTAGGCTAGCAGTCCTAGTTACTGTATCAAGTATCCAACCTTTGGTGTGCTTGTAAACATGTTAATTAATTAATTAATTAATTAATTAATTAATTAAATCTTGGGCCTGAGTCTTTCCCAAGTCATTAATCGGAAAAAATGGGCACTAAAAACTGCATTTTTGCTGATAGTGACTTACTTGTGGAGTATAGAGAGTCCTCTTCTCTAGACAATGAAGGCATACATCTCTTTGAGAGGCAGGGGAGAGGATGATAGTTCAGCGTTTGTGAAGATCCAGTGTGTTTCGAGCGCTTGTCCATTCAGCAGTGTGTACTTGATTGTTCTGCATGATAGTTTGTGGCTTTAAGTGTTTACTGGGGTGTACGCCATATTACAGAGAATTTCTTTTAGGCTATTTATTTAGGCAGTCTAACTGAGAAAGGTGGCTGTGTTACAGTAGCTGACTCACTATCCTGCACTGCCCTTCCCAATGTACACCTTTTGTGTGGCTCCACACATAAACAAGTCATTCCACACAACCATAGGAAATACAATTTAGCTAATTCTTTCTCAAGCATGCAACACGGAAAATATTATAGTTTAAAATTAAATTTGCTTCCTCTATTCATTTGTGTCAGTTATTCCACTTCTTTTTAATTAGCCATGACAAAAGACTGATGATAGTAAAATAGAAACAGAATATAAACAGAAGTAGTTTTGAGAGTAGTTATGTAATGATTGTTATAGCTAGCATGAGACACTAATGCTAGATAGTTCGAGTGGACAACTTTGTGTTTTTATGATGAAAATCCAACTTATTAATATTTCTGGGGCAGTATGGTAAGGTGGTCTTTGTTCCCATTGCTGGGGAGACTTGTTCCTAATGTGAAACATTACGTTTTCACTTAAAAAGAAAATAAGAAGTAAGAGGGTAGAGGCGTCTTACCGTACACTGTCAGAAATAAAGGTTCTGTGCTGGTACATTTTTCGTTCATTAAGGTACCAACAATGTAAATGTTCCCTCAAAGCTACAACAGTGGTTTAAGGTCCAGTTGTGCACCTTTTAATACGTTTTTTTCCAGGTGAAAAGTATGTATTTGTCCTAATATTTTAAAACAGAACAATAAAATAAAACGCCTGGAGACGAGACGGGGTGTGTGGAGTCAGTACAGCTTAGAAAATATAATTTCAGTGGATTATGGTACAGTTATGTTCCCTGACTGAGATGTACCCTTGAGGGTCCCACCCCAGTGACAGTGTAGC